AAATCAAAGAAATTGTGGAAATCAACTGGGAGATGCTTTTATGAGGAATGAACTTGAACTTTAACTTGACTTGTGTCCAGAGGGTTTAATAAATTGGTCCAGAACTGCAGGGAAAGAAGATGCTAGATTGGAGACATACAAAAGTATATCATTAGCATGTAGTGACATACCTTCAAGTTTTTTTTTTTTACTGAAACCAAAGAGATAAAAAACTCAGGCTTTCTTGGTGGCCAACCATGGTACTGCAACTTAAAATCTTCTTTTTATTTTTTATTTTACATGCAGGTGAAGTAGAGTTAGTAAATTTAAATTTAGTGTTAGAGAATTCAGTAAAACTCTTAACAGGGCACCTATGACTGCAAACAGGGTTAATTAATCTTATACACCTTTAAACCATGAAAATGTAAACTTTCGTTTAGAAAGCTATATTTAAGTGCGTGACATTATCGCAGTGTAAAGCCAATGGGAAAAGACGTTTTGTAAAAGCTAACAAGAAAGACAGAAAACTTTTTTGGTGTATTTGCTGGTTGAACGGCAACAGGGGTCTTACTGGTCTGTACAGATACCACTGCAGCATCACTTGTTTCAGCCCAGGCTCACTAGGAATAACTACATATTCATATTGGACAATTCTGTACTACAAAATCACATGCGTCTAATGCAAATGTTCAGCATAAAGTAATAGTGTAGAGGTTGGGAGGGTGAATGCATGCAGTCTGTCTCCTACCAACAGTCAATGCTGGCTTTCTTTGATATTTAACCATGATGAATATCTTCTCCTTGTCTTGAATATGAATACTGAATATCACACTTCAGTGCAAGTCTGCCGGCCCTGGCTACTTTTGTTGACCCTGAAAGTCATGAGGAATTCAGTAAGGAGATCCCGCCTTTTCAACCTCTCCTTCCACCCTCCCTTTCTCTCTTCTTGTCCGTTTTCCCTCCATCTCTCTAGCCATCTAACCCCCCCTCTTTCTCCTCGGCCCCGCTAGACCATCAAGAGGCCTGCAGCCACGTCAGCCTCCACATGAGAGACTATACTGCAAAGTCAACACAGAGACACACACAAGCATGGTTATTATGTTTTAAAGGCATCTACGCTCAGGTCTGAAAGAGGCATTCTTGCTTCTTAATTATATGCAGCACCCAGTCATTATTGGAAGTGATATTAGATAGTTTATTTGATCAACAGTCAGCTGACACTGGCCGGCTGGAGGCTTTCAGACCTGTGTTTACCTAAAAGGGCCAGTCTCAGGGACAAGCCTCTGTGTTTAATGCCAGATGTCAGCCTTCGACACACTCCCTGTTATCTGACACAATCCTGCAGTGGATATCCCTAATAAGTGGGAGGGAGAGAGCCAGAGAGAGTGATGAAGTGGGTTGATGATGACGAGGTGCGGCAGATGCAGATGTGACCAATGTATTACTAAATTTTACTGCAAGATTGCTGCAGTCAAAACCAAATAGGCTTCACAGCAATTTTGATCATTTTGACAAATATACAATATTTATTTTACATTTATCTACAAACTACATGTTTTGTCTTCCAATTTTCCATTATATCTGCTTGTAAATGCTGATGATCATACTGTACACTGGCAGCTGCAGCACTGATTAAGGACAGGTGTTATATGTGGATGCTATGAGATACTAGAGATAACAAGAGGGATCAATGCATGTCAGTAGTAGACAGGTGGTCTAGTGCACTGAGATTAGGTAAAAAGAGAAGAAATAAATGGACATGCATGAAATGATAGAGAGAGGGAATGGTGTGATGTGTAGGTGAGGCCTGGGAAGCATGTGTTGTCCAGATGCTGATCATAAAGAGAGAAAAGGGGAGAGGAAGCCCAACCCGAGAGCTTCAGGCAGCAGAATAATGAGGCTGCAGCTTACAGTAAACTTCAAAACAAGAATGAGGAGATTCGGCACAAGGCAGGAAAGAGAGAGATATAGAGGTATGAAGGAGTGATGAAAGGGATATAAGCCCAAGAGCCCAAATTATTGTATCTTTTTTATCATGTGTATAGATGGACAGTCAGATGGACAAATAATAATCCTGTAGTTTCAGAAACATCAGACACAGTTGAAGTGTTTGGCAGGAACTGCGAAGCCTCTTGGCACTGAGGTCACAGTACAGTACAGCTGCAGTGGCTTATCTTGCCTGAAGGTCGAGGAAATTGAAGAGAAGGAGCACATAGTTGCCTCCTGAAGAAGGACGAACGTGTCTAAAATAAAATGAGATGGATGCGCTATTGAATAGAAAGCACAAAATGAGGGACATCTTAATGTGAGGATAAATTTACTACAGGCTTGTTTTCTTGTCCGTGCTTTCCCTGATTAAGCATGTAGCAGACATATAAACAAAAACCCTGTGTGCATGTGCTGCTTTCACATACAAAATTTCACATATCCAGAAAGTCTCCTAAGTGCTCAGAGAGGTTGCGCACTGGGAGGGGTGGTCTAAGCAGTTCTAATACTAAATGTATCATCCTCAATAGATGCATTTTGTACTTTTATCATCCTGCATCCTGTGATGTTTTAGCCCCAAAAGCATCATAACACAGTTGGGGTAATGCTTCCATTTTATTGACCAAATTTGCTTATTTATTGAAGTAATTGTTTCCACATTTCTATTTATAACCCTAGGAGGTTTGTATTCTTCTTTGTGGAAAACCTTCAACCTTTACCGACTGATTACCTAGACACAGGAAGCATGTGTCCTGCCAAGAAGAGCCCGTAAAAATACTAAAAAAGGACTCTATTGAGATTTACATTCTGTCTGATTTTGTGAGCCAAGAAAAAAAAAGCCTCATTAACATTTTTATGTGATATCTGTAAAACAAAGTTAGTCCGATCATTTATAAGTTTGGAACAGCTTTTAATGAGCTCTGTGAGAAATTCACCAAAATGTTAATTCTTTATCGATGAGAACGTTTTAGGTCAATTCTCCACAATTTCAGTTTATGTTCAGCAATAAAATAATGTGATGTAAACACAAATTCCTCTTTTTCTTTCTCATTCACCCCCCCTCTCCCCTCTATGCACCACTCCTTGCTCGCTCATATGTACTCTTGTATACTGTATGTTCGCACATACTGTACCATGTATTGTCCTTTACTTTCCTTCCCATAAGTTCCTTCCATTTAAATCCCTGCCTGGAGCTGAGTCTGTCATTGGAAGATGGCGTGTAGGAACACATTTATTTCCCTCAGCGATGTGCAGTTTAGTGGTTAAAAAAGTGTGTAAATATGTGTGCACATCTACTCATTACCAACGAGTCAGGTGTTTCGGTGTGTTTCTAGCCTACGATAAAAAAATTACTTCCTCTCATGAGCACTTATGCACAAACGCACACGTGTATGTTTTTAACCTTTTACACAAGCTCAAACAGACACATTTAAAACTGCAAACCACCACTTGTGCAACAGATAAATCACCAGTCACACTGTTGTAAAAACAACATTCCCTGGACACAAAAATTAACATCCTTATGTTTTGTCACACATCTGCAAGTGTAGGCACGCATACACACACACACACACACACACACACACACACACACACACTCACTCACACATACACACACACACACACACACACACACACACACACACACACACACATACACACACACTACTAAAATTATTGATCACTGTGGCTCCTTCAGGCCTCTCTCCAGCTGCTGGCTCTGTCTGATGAGCTGTTTATCAGTCTGACTGAAGATTATTGAAATTCCAAACATAAGAGCGGCTGACCTCTTTCTGACTAATCCGCAAGTGTATAATGCAAGACCGTGCACGTTTATGTGTGACTTCTGCATGTGTTTGTGTGATGATATAAGTGTCTGTGTGCATGTCTGTGTGAAAACAGGTGTTTCTGTATTGCTATTTGTGCTAAATGTGGGTAAATTAAGAGTGTCAACACTATTATCTTCTATGTTGAGAGTGTACTTACTGAAAATAAGAGGAGACGGTGGACAAGTGTGTGTAAGTCTATGTCCAGCCAGTCTAAAATTGGGTGCGATTTTGGAGAGTGTACAGCGAGGAATATTACAGCAAGCAGTGGAAAACTCCATCTCACTAAGAGAGTGTGTGTGTGTGTGTGTGCTTGTATGCACACATTCAAGTACAGGCCCCTGCCTCACAATCTATTGACCTTTCCTCTTTAAAAGGCAATTTAGATGCAAAGACAGGTGACATCAGATGTGTAGTTACAATAGTGCACGGTGATACAGGCTTAATTTCACTTGCCCCCCCCCAACAACATACAGTAGTCACAGTGTCGTCTGTGAGTGGAAATCTCTGTGAAGAAACAGCAATGCATAGTGCAAACCACAGCAGTGACAAATCAGCAGCTGGAGCTGTGGTAATGTTTAAACTGACATCATTTGCTTACATTTACTGTATGACTGTCTGTGTAAACTAGTATTCTGTCAGTATGAACAATATTTCTGTGTCAAGTTTTTGTAAAATACCTTCAGCTCATTTTGATGGACGTCCTTGTCCAGCACCCACAGAAATTGTTAGAGAAGTGGCAGCTGTCTCTAGAGTTACTTATGTCTGCCTGTGTGGTATTACCCAGAGTGCTGCCTCAGAGTAAAGTCTGTCGGCACTTTGACTCCTCAGACTTTGTCCGTGCTCCAGGAGTGAAGTTAATTAGGCAGTAAGGAAGCTTTACAACACTGAGGCGGCCTGCTGTAAAGTCAGACAGTACTTGCACAAATCTGGAAGCCTGAACGTCTTCTTCCCTGTGTCACAACCTCTTCCTCAGGCTAATGACAATTTGCAGCTTTCTGTGTTATGTTTAACTCAGCTTCACATACTCTTATATTTTTCCAGAGGGTCTCATCTCTGAAAAGAGTCCTGACATGCCAGTAAACTTGTTTCTGCACAGACACAGCTGTTTACAGCGCAAGTGTTTAGCAGATGCATTTCAGCAGGCAGCGTGAAACTGTGGCAGCTCTTTCCTTTGTTTGAATGACATCCTGTGTGTTGGGGTTTCAGGGCAGCAACAGACCATAATATGGATAACACCACTGCCATGCTGAGAGAATGGCTGAAAAGAGCCCAGCATGTCTACCACTATGTGGAGTGGAGACCCATGGAGGAGCCACGGTGAGTCACAGTTTCCACAGGAATCATTAATTAGCATCTATTCAAACCAATTCAGACTTCTTTCCTGGATTTGTTCTGGTTTTCTTACATAATTTTTGCTTTCTAAAAGGATGTTAAAGACCAATCAACCTTTCATCTCTGTATCAGGTCCTACACAGATGAGTGGGGTCCGAAGCACTGGCCTCCTTCAAGGTTCAACCATGTGATGAAGCTGAGACAGGCAGCGCTAAAGGCGGCTAGGGAACGATGGGCAGACTACATACTAGTAAGATTTTTTCATGTTATGATGAAAGAGCCATAATTCAGTCAGAGACATGTCAAAGCAATACATTTTAATTAAAGTTTAGTAAAAAAAAAATACTGAACATTTTGTAGCACTTTCAAGTCAGACTCTATGTTGATGAAAAAATAAATGCTGCCATTAGTCTCTGTCGTCTTGAAATTAATGTATTTTATTCTTAAAAATACAAGTATCCTGAAACAGACCCCACACAGCAGTCTAAGAGGGGCTTGCATGGCTGTTCTTAGTTATCTAGTTGATCCAGCATAACATGTAATTGAGACAAGGTCCCCAATCTCTCCAACTAGACAGTCTGAACCTCCTCACATGCTTGGAACAGTATAAAAGGCCAAGGTCAGTTAACCATGAAAATGCAGAAATATATACATTTTATACTTACAAGTGACATTTATGGAAGCCCTGAAAGGCAAGTGAAGTGAAATTTTGTGAGAACAGGTGATTTCCCCCCCCAGGACCATTAAATGATGAAATTAATAAATTCACTTGTTTTCACAGATAAAAAAGAAAAAAAAATTATGGTAGTTTTGCATCACATTGTGTATTCTTAATTTGCATTTAAATACATTTCCAGTGCTCATTAAGCAAAACTGTGTAACTTAGTAACTTTTAAGTAAATGTCCATATCTTGATAAAAAAAAATTTGAAATGAGAAATTATGTACAAGGGACATATTTAATAAACCACATGTCTCTCCAATTTAATTTCAGAATTGATATGATATGATCTTTGACTTGACCTCTCTGTCCCTCTCCCCTCCGTAGTTTGTAGACAGCGACAACCTGTTGACCAACCCCCATGCGCTCAACCTGCTGATGGCTGAAAACCTGACCCTGGTGGCTCCCATGTTAGAGTCGCGCTCACTCTACTCCAACTTCTGGTGTGGCATCACCCCACAGGTACAGTTTGTTTCAGTTCATACATCTGCCCAGCCACTTAGCGAGATGTCTTACCTGAACCAGGTGTCCTCCACCTCTCTGTCAGGGTTACTATAAGCGAACCCCAGACTACCAGCCGATCAGGGAGTGGAAGCGGCTCGGCTGCTTCCCTGTTCCAATGGTCCACAGCACCTTCCTATTAGACCTCCGACGTGAATCCAGCAGGGACCTGGCCTTCTACCCTCCTCACCCAGACTACAGCTGGGCGTTCGATGACATCATGGTGTTTGCTTTCTCGGCACGTCAAACAAGTCAGTGTGAAAACTCAACTCACAACAAACTACTAAATTTATTGTAGGGCTGCAGATGCCTCATGGGCCATGGCAGCTTCACTTTGAAGAACTGAGGACTGTCAGTGACTTCTTAAATTCATTAGTAGTTTTTACAAACTGGTTTTAATCTGCATAATGAAACTGTTTCTTGGTTTTATGCACATGTGTCAGATTAAGGCAGATGAGCGAAAGAGAAAAATGGATCCATGTGTTTGTCTTGACTGTTTACAAGTGTGCAACAATATCAGTGTTTGTGGATTTGTGTTTGATGTGAGTAATCATCCGTAGGGAACAAACATCCATTAAGTTTCCATTCCATAGACAACAAGGGTGTGCGGCATTTGCCTGCCAACTAAAAAGTAAACATATAAAAGCATTGACACAAACACAGAAATTCAAACACAAAGACACTCAGAAACACAGAGGAATGGTTTCTTCCTCTTCAACAATGCCTTAAAGTACAGATAAATGTACAGATAATAGGGAGAATATTTGGTCTTGTATGACTAGTAACTTACTGCTGGCTAATGTTAGCTAATGCCAGCAAATGTTAGCTGATTTTGCTGTGCAATTGACATCACTAATAAGTACACTGACTTGTGAATTTTCCCTACATCTGCTACTGCCACACCACATTTTAGCATTCACTATTTTCTTTTTAAATGTCACTTGAGGCCACAGTGGTTAAACCCATGTTATCCTAAATCCAATGATGTGAAACACAATCAAATAAAATAATTAAGTTATGAAACAGACATTAACAGACAACACACATTATGGATATTATGGAGTTTTTCTTTTCTTTTTGTGCTGCTTGCAGTTTGTGGGACGAAGAATGAGGACTCCTGGTGGTCTAATATGCATGTTTATTTGAAATGTTTGGGTCGAGAGGTTGTATTTAAATAACCCTGTGTACTCGGTGTGTGTGTGTGTGTGTGTGTGCGCGTGTGTGTTTGTGCATGTGTGCGTTTCAGATGTGCAGATGTATGTTTGTAACAGAGAGCACTACGGTTTCCTGCCCGTCCCTCTCAAAGCACAGCAGAATGTGGAAGATGAAAGAGAGAGTTTCATACACACCATTACGGAGGCTTTGAGTGAGTACACACACACACACACACACACACACACACACACACACACACACAACCACGTTCCAGCTGTTGTGACTTCACTATCTGTCACTCTCTGATTATTTTACCTCTCAATGTTGTTTCTTCTAACTTCTTGACCTCTGTGATCCTTCGTGAATTGCATCCTGTCAACCCTTTTTGCTTAATCCCTCTCCTCCGTACTGTCTCCTCCTCCCTCTCTCTGTTTTTTCAACCCCCACCTCCCTCTCACTTTCTCACCCTTTTGACCTCCTCCACTGCTCTTCTCCCTGCTCAGATTCTAAATAAACCAAATTGAATAAACAACCACAATCCAGAGGAAATTCAGTTATTTTATAATCCTGTTTTTGCTGTCTTAATCTTTTGCCTCCTTTTCTCTCTCTGTCAACAGTTGACCACGACATTGAGCCCTCTGAGCACCTGTTCTCTCTGCCATCATCGCAGGACACGATAGGCTTTGATAAAGTGAGTTGAGTGTGCTGAACTCCTCACCTTCTGTCCCTCTGTATATTTACTGTTTATCAGCATCTCCCACGTCCTGTTTTTGTTGCAGTTTTTCTCTTTTCCTCGTGTTTCCATGTTCCAATTCTTCTCTTTGACCCGAACTTCTGTTTTTTGTTTCTTTGGCTTTCAAATAAAACAACATGTCTCCATTTTTTCCTGTTTAAATGTTTAGATTTTCCTGATTAATCTGAAGCGTCGGCTGGACAGGAGAACGAGGATGATGAAAACAATGGCTACGCTTGGTCTTCATGCCACGCTGACAGATGCAGTGGACGGCAAGTAGGTCACAATCACAAGGCCGTGCATGCGCTCGACAAACCGAAACTGAAGGCTGATTTAATCTCCTCACACTCTCTGTGATAAAGTCTTGTGAAGTTTAGTTTATTCTGCACCGCAACAAAAGAAAGCATTTTTCTACCTGAAACATTTGTTACTGCACTCCCTGAATGTCAGATAGTAAGATAATGTCATCCTGTCTGTCGCTGCTTTCACTGACATCTACATCCAAACATCCTGTCTAAACAGCGATTTGGTATTTGTAGCAATATGCTAGACTTGCTTTCCCTCCTCGGGCTTACTTTAAGCCACTGCAGAGAATGTCCTAATCCTTCTTCCAGCCGTTGTTTGTCTGGCAAAATGTATTACTTGTTGCAGCTTGCTGAGTTTGACTTTGGAGTATTTTGCAGGGAATCTGTTTTCACTGATTACAGACTGAGCTGCATAATGACAAGTGCAGTTATAAGAAATACCCTCTTTTATATTCCCGCTACTAGTACTTTCCTTTTCTCCCTCTCTCCTAGGGCTCTCAATTCGTCCCAGCTGCAGGCCTTGGGAATAGAGATGATGCCGCACTACAAGGACCCTTACTCTGGTCGAGTCCTGACCCGAGGGGAGATCGGTTGCTTCCTCAGCCATCACTCTATATGGACACAGGTGAGAGCAGGGATGTGGGAAAGAAGTTTTGTGTAGTAAACAGGTTGAACATCTTGTGAAAGCACAGATTGAACCTGCTGAAGAGTGAAGGAAACCAAATTGCCTCTGTGTTATGGGTTTGCCTAAAAATACATGTAAAGGCAGGAAACTATTATTTAAAATCCCATTATTAATCAAATCTATAGTATATACAAAAGTTATATTTGAATTCATATTTATAAATCAACTTCCAGGCCAACAAAAATCAGCTGGTTTAGTGATGTTAATAACCTAATATTCTGCATCATCACACTAATAAATTGATGCTTATGCACTGCTGCAACACACAGTAAGCTATAGCTGAACTGGCTGTAACCTAGTTAACGCAATAGGTAACTTCAGCCACAGCGGTGAGCAAAAATAAGGCTTTCTGGTGAACAAGTGATTTCCTCATTGCTGCTGCCACCTGCTGTCTGTCTGCCTGTCTGTCTGTATGTCTGCCTCCCTCTAGTTTGCATTTCGTGTTATAATTTTTTAGTGCATATTATACATAAAATAATCTAAGTAAGCACAGGACAGTCATCACCAGGAATAATGTAAAAGAGAGGAACAATCTGCTGTTATTCTTTCATTGTAAAGTGAGTGTTTGTATTTCCTGGCCATCAGGTGTTGGAGCGCGGCCTTGAGAAGGTTCTTGTTTTAGAGGATGACGTGAGGTTTGAGCCCAGGTTTAAACGACGGATGCAGGCCATAATGGATGATATAGACAAAGCCCAGCTGGACTGGGACCTCATGTAAGAACACCCACCCATCCAAGCACACACTCACAGTTTTTCTTCCAAATGAATTTGTTAAGACTAAAGATTTGCACCCATTTCTGTGAAGCCTCGTCAAAACACTCGCTTTCTGTCTCCGCTCTAGCTACGTGGGGCGTAAGCGTATGCAGGTGCAGCAGCCCGAGCAGTCTGTGGATGGTGTAAACAACCTGGTTGTGGCCGACTACTCCTACTGGACACTTGGCTACGCACTGTCGCAGCAAGGAGCCAAGAAGTTAATGGCTGCCGATCCCTTCACAAGGATGCTGCCCGTCGACGAGTTCCTGCCCGTCATGTTCAACAAACACCCCAAGTCAGTCTTTACTTCAGTTTTCTTTGATTTAAAATTACTGTGCTGGATAAATGTAATGTGATAAAAGGGATTGAGTTGTATTTCAGACATGTAATGCAGAAAACCACAAAGCTACAGAAGTATTTTTGTATAATGTTCACAAACACAGACAGAAAAGACCCTTTTAGACAGGAAAATATTTACTGAGGACCACAAATAGAGGATTGCAGGTCCTATTTGATTGCACTCTTACATACGGAAATATCAGGTAATAGAATAAACAGTAGATGCAAAAGGAAAAGCTACATTTACAGTCAAATGTGAAATGTAGGCATGCATGGATACTGTGCATGCACAAAAACAGACTCGTGCTGAGGAGCTACTGTATGGTAATTATCTATACATAGACACAAACACAAGCCTGTCGGAGACATTTTAGACTGCGGCACACTGTGTAGTTTTCTAGTTTGTTCTCTGGTGGTAGACCACAACCTCCATCCAGTTCAACTCCAAATAACGTTCCCTATATGTCTCTATGTCTATCCTTTTCTCCTTCCCCCTGATTATGTCCCTCTTTCTTTCCAGCACCTCCCCCTTCTTCTTCTTCTTCTTCTTCTTCTTCTTCTTCGTCTGTGTTCCCTCACACACAGGCATGGATTGTTCTTGGGGTTCAGTGGGTACAGTGCACAGGACACACAATGCCTGCTTTTCTTTTTCTTTTCTCCTTTGAGGCTTCCAGTCGTGCCCTGCTCTCCTCCACCTCCACCTTCACCTTCACCTCCAACCCCACCTCCTCCTCCTCCCTTTCCCATTTTCTACCTTTTTATCCTTTAAGTCAGCCCTTAAGCCTTCCCAGCTCTCCTCTCATTCTTCATTTGTTTTTGTTTTTTAACTTCTTTTACATTCCCTCTCTCTCCTCAGTAGACCATTACTTTTTTTGCACACCTACTCCCTCCCTGTGTCACCCACTTCTCCCCCTTCCTTCTCTCTCTTTGAGGAATGTGGGCCAGCACGGCTCTTCCTGCTGGTTGGAGAAGGGGACAGGATTCCCATTGATAGAGGTCTGAGCGTGGGGGTGGGGTAGAGATGGACACTGTGTGAATGTGTGTGTGTGTGTGTGTGTGTGTGTGTGTGTGTGTGTTGCTATATAAATACATGGAGATGTGTGTCCAGTGTGCAGTGTATAGATTACTAGTGAATAGTCTGTGTGTGTATCCAACAGTAAGAGGTGAGTTTGTTCAAAAGTGAAAGAAATAGGAAATGTGGAATGAAATGTGGAAAGGTGGCAGGGAAAATATGGAACATGTCTATATTATATAAATTAACAGCAGGGGATTATGGGCCCTGTGTAAATTGTGAATAGTATGTCAGATATGTTGTTTTTTAAGGGGGGGTTATTCTCTTCAGACAAACTTCAGTTTCTGCTCAAAAACACACAAACAGAAGCAGGAGAGATACATAAGAGTAAACCAAGCGAAAAAAGGCCTCAATGCATGGAAAATATGTGTGAGTTTGTGTTTGTTTGCAGCAGCAGGTCAGCTCCTATGGGCTCTAATAAAGGTGTGGGGTTTCACTGCCCTCGTGGGGCGCTGACAGGTTTTAAGCAGGCGATCGGACGGCAGGGTGCTGACCTCTGTGGTGACCTCTGTCTGCACGAGTGCAACTCCGCCTGGCTGACGTGTCACAAACAGCCCTCATTCCTCCCTGTGGCCCTGTGTGCTGTTTACGGTGTGACACAATATGATGGTAGCTTACATGATGACAGATGTGATTTTGATCTACTGGGATTAAATGTTTTTCTTATTTGCTTTATCATAGCTGTATGTTTACTCAACTATTGTACTTAAATGACATGTTGAGGTGCTTTACTTGTGCACCTATATTTTTATATTATATACCTTTATTTATCTATTTAAGACTACAGCTAACTGTTTCCATTATTGCTTAATTCGCTGATTCTTTTCACATTTGGTCTATAAATCAGAAAAGAGAGAGGAAAGTGCCCTTTATAATTTCCATCTAAATTGCTTGTTTTGTCTGAACAGCAGTGTAAAACCCCAAAATCTTCACATTACTGTAACATATGACAAAGAAAAGCATCAAACTTGACCTATAAAACATATGATCAGCATCTAAATTTGAAGCATTGTTATATAACTACTCAACATAATATGCACAAGTTCAATTGGGTCCACTTAAACCAAATAAAGCATGTGCTTTTATAAACAATATAACATCTCTATTATGTTCATAAAATACTGCTGTAAATGCACCAGAGTTATCGTCTGTAGTCCCCGGACAGATCAGAATAGATAATACAATAAAAAGAAAAGTCCAGTGTGTAACATTTAGGAGGATCTATTGGTGGAAACAGAATATAATATTCATAGATATGTTCTCATTAGTGTATAATCTACAATCTGCATAGGGAGCGAGTCCTCTTCCACAGAGGCTGCCATGTTGAACCGCCATGTTTCTATAGTTACAAACCAAAACACTGGCTTTTGATAGGTCCTTTGGCATTTTTTGCAAGTTTTGCCGACACTGTAGTTTCTCCTACATGCTTGGAAGAGTGAGTGACGTGAAGGGTTATAATTTGCAAACACATCGCTAGATGCCATAAATTCTATGCACTGGTCCTTTAATAGAAACATCATTCAGAATTTATACTGCATTGTCAGGCACTATTTAAAACATGCACCATGCAAATGCACATGCAAAACAAACAAATGAGGGATAATAATGTTTCATTTTGACTAAATTATGCTGCAGTAGAGAAAAGTATCCTGTTCCCCTATTTGATATCCTGTAAATTTGCTGTCTTGGCTGAAATTAAATTCCGGTACATTGTGTATGAACTGATGCGTCAGAAGTGTAGAGAAATGCAAAATAGTCACATGAACAACATTTAGTGAGCACTCTGTCAGTGTTTGGCCTTCCTTCCCCTTCCCTTTGGCGACCTTTGGTATAAAACAGTCAGAGACAGAGTGAGCAGGTAATCATCACCATGGTGGTAGTAGATCACGTTTGCCAGAAAAGTAACTGACAAGGGATATTTGATTGGAGCCTAGCACTAGTTTGCAGCCAGGTGACGCTCACATATCAGGGAAGAGAACTGAAGTTACACTTGCAGTAGTTAACTGGCATCAGCTGAGTCACAATCACTGGTTCATTCACAGCTGTGGCAAACAGCTGACTAGTAACAGCCAATCATATTCATGCAGGTGTACAGTACTGTCAAAACCACAGAGTCCAACACTGTTTGCTCCCTCCACCTCCCCAACCTTCTCCTTGTGTGCTATATTTTTATAGTGTTGTTGATTTAACTAAATTTGATATTCATGTGTGTATGTTTATTAAGAAGGACTCTTCTTTGCTGTTTTCTTTGAGAACTCCCTCCCTCTCTGTTTTATATGATTGTAAACAGGGTTTTATGCATCACCTTGGGCTCTGGGAAAGCCATTTTTCTACTATTTTATCGCTAAATTTATAGTTAAGTTAATTATTACTCACTGTCATAATCATATTTAAATTGCCTCCAGTGTCCATAACAACTCTTTTACTTCTTTGTCCCTCATCCTCCTCAGCACTGAGTACATGACTTACTTTGAGCCGCGGGACCTGAAGGCCTTCTCCGTGGAACCGCTACTCATCTACCCCACACACTACACCGGAGAGCCGGGCTACATCAGCGACACGGAGACCTCTACCATCTGGGACGACGAAGCCGTGGCCACGGACTGGGACCGACAGCATGCCCGCAAGACGGCCCAGCAGGGTCGCATTCGCCCTGTGGCGCAGAACAGCGTCACCGGAGACTCACCACCTCCCGCAGCTCGGGCCTCGCGGGATGAACTCTGATACAGAGACCTGAAACTCGGAGAGAGAGACTCATGTTTACTACACCGTGTACACATTGTGAACGTCATGTGTACACACACTTGAAAAGACACTTGAACTACAAGCTGAGATACTGTACATTCATTAACACACACACACGCGCCACACACACACACACACACACACACACACACACACACACACACACACACACACCACACACACTGGTGTCCAAATGGATAAAAGCAGAGTTAAGATGTAAGTCTACACTGCTGCCTGATGAAGGGACACTGCTGAGGAGAGAAAGAAGAGGAAGAAGAAGAGGAAGAAGAGCAGAAGCTGGGACGAGGGCCAGCAGGCCTTTGACAAAAGCTTTATTTATTCCCCATGTGCCTCCTCTGTGCATGTGGAGACAGTTACGGCCTGAGAAAACTTAAGCAACACATGGAAGACAGCTAACATTATTTGCAGGACGTGAAAGAAAAAAAACGATCAAAAAACATTCTCACAAATCAATTTTCATCTTGTTTGTGAAGATTATTGTTATTTAAAAAGAACAGATGTGTTTTGTTTTTTTTAACGGACAGCGGAGGAATAAAGGAATCTTAAAGCTGCCTGAAAACAACTCTTAAGTGTGCGTGTGTGCCCTGTGTGTGTGTGTGTGTGTGTGTGTGTGTGTGTGTGTGTGTGTGTGTGTGTGTGTGTGTGTGTGTGTGTGTGTGTATGTGTGCGGGTGTGCACATTGACATATTTACAGAGCTGAACATGTGTGGGAGGAAGGGAGGCTGACATACCGTACCCAAGAGTGTCACTGCTTCAGATGATGTCAGACACACACACACACACACACACACTGATAGTACAGGCCTTCTTTGCCAAGCAGTAGGGCAATAGTGGAAGTTATTAGGCTCAGTGTTTCCATCATTGCAGATATCTCACTTGCACAGCGGGCTGGTCCTGCTAGTTAGCATTTCATAACATCAGTCATACATTATATGTAGCCTGTAGGATGTATGATTTGTCCACTGCAGACCCCTGCTTTCAGAATTTCTGTGTGTTAAATACTTTGCAAAAAACTGCATTAATGGATTATTCATGTCTTCGATGCAGGCTTGTTCTTCGTTCAGTTGTTGCACTGGGCGAAACCAATAAAACAGCTTCTCTATTTCTGTTTTCACTCAGTCTGCAGCATAAAACCATCATTTTACAGTAATTTGGATTATTATTGTAGTTACTGTATTGTGTTGCAGAGTTTGTAGACAGAAGCAAATGAAAATAAGAGATCTCAGGCCAGATTTAAACCCATGACAGCAAAACATCAACAAAACTGCACTCTATGTGGGACTAGAATCGAGCTTTCATTTGGTAATGTACTGTACTGTATCGGCTGATTAGCAAGCATAAACATGCTGCTGCTGTTCACATGACCAAAAATGGAAGACAGACTTTTCCCTAATTAAACCCTGTGAAAATAAGCTCTGTGAAATTTCAGAAAACAGTGGTAAAACAAGAAAGGAGCTGCAACCTCCCAATAAATTTAACGTTTGAGCCTTTATCATGTAGAGGACGACTCAGTGGGTGTGTTGGCTCCCACTGTTCACTGGCTGAGTGAAATTCAGCTCACTGTTTTATAGTTCCTGTCTGCTGTGGGATCTGACAGAGAGAGAGAGAGGGATGGAGAGGAGAGAAACGGAGGGAGTGGGAGGTGGTGGGGGTTATAGGTAAGGTGGATGAGAAAGAGAAATGAAGGGAGAGAGAAGAGGATTGTTGGGCACACAGGAAAAATATTTAAATATTAATATCCTACAGTTGGGTTGAGATGTGAGACAAAATCTCGCTATCTGGTATTCTCATTATTAAATCGGATAAAAACGTAATGTTATTGCTAATCCTGCCTCATGCAACCTTGACCAGACTGTACGTAATGCTACTGTCATTGCTATAAGTGAATTGCTTTATCAGATGCTTCATTTTACAGGTTTGTTTTCTCAGGTAATGCTCCATTTACATAGTGTGATGCCAAGAGAAGGATTACGCTGCCGTCTGCTGGTCATGTGTGGAATGGCAACTGGATTGTACAGCTTTTGCTTTATGAGGTCCTGTCAAATTATACAGCTCATATAATATGATACATGATAGTGTGTGTTATGATTTACTGTTGGTCGAAATGAAAATATTATAGATAATAAAATATTTTACATTGTATTTGCATGAAATGGAAATTTGTCTCAGGCAACGGACCGGTGAATGCTAGAGATTTCAGCATGCATTTTCACATACTCTTTCTCAGCTCCGTACACACTTCCATATAAATACATCATTTGTAAGAACTGAAAACTTCATGTCCTAACCTTCCTCAGGGGCAAATACAGTCTGTGTTAATGGATACAACTGAGCCAGAAGGACATGTTACAGGCTGCTTATGGACGGGTCTGTTCACAGCTACTGTGTGGACTTGACAGTCACACATCCCTCTTTCTCCCTCCTCCTCTTCTTCTTCTACTTCCTTTTTTCTGCTGCCATACAGAGCACTCGGGTAAGAGAAACAGCCATATTTAATACAGAATAATTATTCTCAGACTTGAATGTGCCAAAATCAATCCCATTACTGTATATTGGCTTAAGAAACTGTGTATTTATTACAGGTTTGCAACACGACTGTTGGTGATGAAATATTGACCCACAGTATCCTACACTTTGTTAATAATAAGTTAGCCTTGGGAGTTGGAGAGGAACACTGACTGTCTGTCGTAATACTTAACCTGCATTCATGTTATATGTGTGTGTGTGTGTGTGTGTGTGTGTGTGTGTGTGTGTGTGTGTGTGTGTGTGTGTGTGTACAGTAAGATAAGATAGTCACAACATAGTGCGCACACAGCCATAGTTTACTGGGACAGCATCTGAAATATTTATCAGATCAAGTCTATTCCCTCGCTTTCTGATTGCTTCTCTTCTCTTTTGAAACTGGACTGGTTTCCTATCTTACCAGCACACACCACATGTTTACTTAAGTCAATTCAAATTAGAGACTTAGCCAAACCATAACCCCTTACCCTAATCTTGACTTTAACTACTGACCCAAAAACCAACATTGAATGATCTTTAGTCTGAAATGTGTCCCTGAAGGTAGCCAAAGTCAGACTCAGACAGACAAACAGACAGACAAACACACACACACACACACACACACACACACACACACACACACACACACACACACACACACACACACACACACACACACACAGGTAACTCATTTCCATTCTATATGAAAATCAACTTTCAGAGAATTTAACCATCACACTGTTCATCATCCTCATGGGGAAGTAATTTGACTACAAATCAAACTGTGCATGAAACGTGCATTATCAAGTCGCAATAATATTGCTCTGACAAAATTAAGATATACAATGTATCTTGAGATATCCAGTGAACATTTGAGAGAAATCCCACATGACTGACTTGTAACACCCACAGTACTTCTTAGCTCATATTTATACAGCTTATGATAAGATATGATAAAACCAAAGGGACTTATCTGGGGCTTCTGTTAAAACTCTGATAATGCGACAATTTATAGGACACTAGTAGGATTTAGTGGCATCTATAGGTGAAGTTGGAAATTGCAACTGACTGACGTATTTGATGACCTGGGAATGAGAACGGACTGCGAAACACATAAAAAACGTGAAAGGCCCTATCTACAGCCAGTGCTTGGTTTGTCTGTTCTGTTACTGTAGCAACATGGCGGTTCAACATGGTAGGCACTGAAGGCAATTATGAATTTATTTAGACTGTTGGTTGGACAAAACAAGCATGATGAAGGTGTTACTTTGGGCTTTGGGTTATTGTTTCTCACTATTTTCAAACAATCAATTAACTAATTGTAGGTGATTATACTCTAAGGAAAACATACCTGTGAATATTATATTCCTTTTCTGCCAATAGATCTTACCAAATGTTACACACTGGACATTTAAAACAAAAGGCGAAGCAGTCACTATCCCTATTAGCAGAACTGGAGAGGAAAACAAGGGCCTCCACTTGTCCGAGGCCAAAAGGTCCACAGGAGGCCCAACTGACCTGGAGCAGACCTCATCCTCCACACAGAAGAATGAGTGCTCCTAATTTAATTCTTCTGATCTAAATTTCACATGCATAACAATTCCTGCACAAAGAGAGATAATAAGTGCCAGCAGTGTCTGCTGCATGTGGCATACAGCCACAAAGTTCAGGCACACCCAGACACACAATCACTCACTCACACACACACACACACACACACACACACACACACACAAACACACATACACACACACACACACACATACAGGTCTACCATGAACCCTTTTACAAGTGGCTCTTCAGACATTTGCCACAGGATATCATTTTCAAAATGTGTGACTCCATCTAAATGTTAGTATCAGACAGCTTTAAAATCTAACACATACATTAGACTCTGTCGGGATAAGGAAAAGCACCATAAACCCCCTTAAATGATCGTTTTTGGTAAGACCTATCAAAATACACAATGCATTTATCAGTGTTGATATGGTTGAAATCTATTATCATGTCAAACACTATAATAAATCACAAAATTACAGTGTAAACCCAGAAAGCAGCAGTGTTTTATTTACAGCGTTCAGTCACTCTGCAGCAGAACATTCAGCTTTTCCAGGCAGACGGACACAGTGACAGGACCAACAGCAAGACAAAGTGACATTTCCATGCTGCCCCGCTGGTTTCACATCACAGATTGATCTGGTAGAATAATGGGTCTCTCAACATTTTTGACTTACAACCATTCAAAATGGAACAATGTCTACTTGAGACTCTTCATCACTGCTGACATATGCCAGAGGCCTGAAACACAAAAAAAGTCAAGAATAGAGGAATGTGTATGTAGGATAAAAACATCTTTTTACTTCCCTATCACACAATTATGTTGCAGTTTTGTTGGTGGGGGCAAAAACTTTCATGTTGGGAACCACTAAGATAGAACATGCACATACCCACGGTAATTCATCAGCATCTAACGATTGGTGTGATGCACATAAAGTAAGATTAGATTTTATTTTTTGGAACGCTTGAACACTGATGTGAGAAGGCTCTTCGTAGTTCAGAAATGTGACGTTTTATCAGTTCATTTGGCATATTTGATCTGCTAATCCCATTAATGTGGTATGCAAAGATATTACATGTGAATGACAAATGCAAGATTCTTAGTCATCAAAGGGAACAGCGGGTGATTTGTTAGGGTTACTGGCAACGATAGCAATACGTGATGATTCTTTATGTAACAAAAGAGATATCGTTGCGTAAGTGGGTGAAATGAGTCAGTGATGCTGAGCTGAGCAGGGAAGAGGTTGGTGACTAACACTGCTGTGGTAAGGCCGTGTCCTTTTGACAGACCAGTGTCACACATACGCACATTTACGCATGTTGTACATAATCTACACATACATACACACACACACACACACACACACACGCACACACACACACACACACACGTGTGCATGGATGCACGTGTTTGAAAAGGCAGCAGAAAAAGAGAAGGAAATGTAAAATGAAAATATTATTCTAGTAACACACACTCCTCTTTTGTTCTTCCTTTTCTCTGTATCAGTGATCCAGAGAAAGTGTCTGTTGTCTCCCTCTGTTCTCTTCCTCACACTGATAATGAGTTACTGTTCAGTGTCAACAAGAGCCCCCTCAGACCTGTACTCAGTGAATAAGTGTATGTGTGCACGAGGCAGGGAGTGTCATACTGTCAGTACAGAAAAGGCTCTGGTTGCACTTGGCAGACAATGGATGGACAGGAAATGAATCTCAGTTTAAACAATCTTTAAATTTGATATGGTTTACAATCCCTGACAAGAATTAAACAAGAAGAGAAAATGAAGAAATTAATATTTGAGTGCATTGTGTGTGTTATATTCTTGGTAACCAGCAGAGAGCAGTGTGGAGACATGGAAGCTCAACTACTTCTACATCACTATGTTTCAGAGGCAAATATTGTTCTTTTTACTCCACTACTAATATGTTTGTAAGCTATGGTAGCTATTTTTTTCAGACTTTTCAGATTAAGCATGCCTTCCAAGCAGACAATTTGTAAATTTTGTAATTCCTGTCTGGAGCTGTAGAAATACAACATTACAAGTAAAAGTCCCAAATTCAAAATGTTACTTAAGTAAAATCATTAGCAAAAAGTAAAAGTATGCATTATTATAGAATATTATATTATTCTGATTTTATCACTAATAATACATGTAAGAGCATTTTAATGTTGTAGTTTGTCAACGTGGAGCCAATTATAGACTTTTTACACGGGTGGGTAGATCAGTAGTTATATAGAAGCATATCATGTGTTTTTTTAGGTACAAAGTAACTGGTGGATACTTCAAGGCCTAGAGAACCTCATCACCTAGGCAAGGATGCAGCCTCAAAGATACCGCTTCCATCCAGGAAACCAGCAAGAAGCTCGAAACCTTGGAACACCTCATTAGCAGCTGTCCAAAAGCCCTTGGAGACAGGCGCTATCATTGGCGCCATGACCAGGTGCTTGGAAGTTGCTGAGAGTGTAGCCACAGACATTAACACCAGGAAGGGCCAGTCAAAGAACATCATGTTCCTCAGAGTGGGACAGAAAGCCCCTATACAACCTAGAGTAAAGTCAGACCTCCTCACCACTGCCACAGACTGGCAACTGGAAGTGGACCTGTGCAAGCAGTTCCCATCCCGGATAAAAACAATACAGCAGCGACCGAGCATGATCATAGTTTCCTCCAAGCAACAGATCATGCTGGAGCTGGTGGTGCCCTAAGAAGAGCGTATGGATCAGGACAACGAGAGGAAGCACACCAAGTACCAGGAGCTTGTAGAGGATCGCAAAACACAAGGCTGGCAAGCTCGATGTGAATCTGTGGAGGTGGGCTGCCGAGCATGTGCAGAGAATTCACTCTGCAAAGCATTTACGCCACTGGGCATCTCCGGGGAGGCAAAGAGGAAGGCCATCAGATCTGCTATTGAAGCTGCAGAGAAAGCCACTAGGTGGCTGTAGATCAAGAGGGCAGATCCGTGGGGCGAGTGCTGCTGCACACAAGCTGGGTTCTGATCTGACCCCGGCTGGGTTTGCCTGGGAGAAGGTGTCTGATGTTGAAAGACTCGAAACACCTGATGACCCCAGGTGCTATCACTGATGATGTGTCCCAGTGCATCTGCAGGATGTATCTTTTATCTAGTGGAGTAAAAAGTACAATATTTCCCTCTGAAATGTCCTGGAGTAGAAGTGTATAGATAGATAAAGAATGTACACTATGTCCAAACTGTAATTATATACAGTACTTGAGTAAATGTTATTCCATCATTGTGCACCAGTAAAAAAAATCCAATTGATTTTTTTGTGGCCTTGCTGCTTTTACTCTGAAAGGCTCTGAATGCTTCTACTACCACTGTGTTTTTTTTATCTCATGTAGCAGCATGATATTCAGTTATACAGTATTTACTATTGTGTTCAGTAGAGACTTTTCCTTTTGTGTGCCACTGTTTGGGACTGTGAGGGAGAAAATTAGAGCAAGAGATTGAGGTTTTGTTTGTATTCACCCCGGCTGAAGGGATCTTGAGTGTGTAGTGTGTATAACAGAGTGTGTGTGTGTGTGTGTGTGTGTGTGTGTGTTGTCAGAGTTTAGAGAGCTTTGGCTGCCCAGCTGTGTAAACTGGTGCTGGCCACACTGCGACTGTGTCAGCAAACTCAGACGGAGGCAGGAGAAAAGCAAGAAAAGTGAAGGGAACACTGAGGATTTTACTTAAGAATGAACACAAGTTGTACAGATGGGTGAAATATATGTGTGAGTGACATTAATAGAAAACAAAAAATGTAATAATAAGTAATAATCTTGAAAACATAATGTTCTGATGTTTCAATGTCAATTCCTCATATCTGTCGCTGCTTTGGCAACGTGTCCAGTGAAGACCACCAAACTGGGCTAAAGTGAAGTGACTGAGAGAAAGGCACTCAACAACAGAGAGAGGAAATGGAGGAAGGAGGGGGGAGAGGAAGGCCGCGAGTGGAGACCGGTTCACTGGAAGTCCATCCACACAGCGAGAAGACAAGGCGGCGTGTTTACTCACTCTTCCTGTCTATCATGCCCCCATTCATTCCCAACAGTCATGGTCAAATGACTTGTTCTCCGGACACTTCAGCTGAGCTCCATTGAGGCTTTATCTAGCCTGATTAGAGAGGCATTTTAATGTTTGATGTTCAGTTTTTTTTATCCATGGTCTCCCAGTCATGAGTCATTACTAAATATAAGCATACTTTAGGTGGAGTCTCATTGCATTTTTGTGTGTCAGGGCTCCAAAAGGAATTTTGTCATGCTGAGTCAGAGTGAAGGTCTGAATCACGGCTGCGACACAGCTGAAGACTGAGGCAACTTGATGCCACAACAGTGTTTTCTCTTTGATGCGGAGCTGGCAGTGATTGAAAGAGAACACCGCTGGCAAACACACCAGTGGAAGATCCTTTATTAAGCAATAAAAGTAAATTCTGTGGAAAATGGACCCTGTGACTTGTGATTATAAACAACATTAGCAGATTTTACTCTCATACATCATGCTGGAAATATTTGCCTACATTTCCTCAGTCACCATCGTCTTTCCTAAATGTTAAAACATTTCTCCCATCCGAAATAAGAGCCAATCTAATCTAAAACCATTACTGGCTTGTGGTAAATATATATTATGTTGTAATGTTTAGATGAATACAGTTGAATGATGCCACTCTGTACCCCGGTACCCCTGTCACGGTCTGAAATCTACAGCATAATGCAATGTACTCTTCTATTTAATTAACTGATTAATTAAAATTCCATCTAAAACAGCAGGTTACTGGATAAGATTACCATGTATATTAAAATATAATATGCATGGAATAATGGAATTATACATGACTTATCTTTACTTTGATATCAGGATGATAAATCAGCCATCAGCCACCTTGCTCTCTAAATGTTAGCATTGGCATCGGCCATTGAAAAACCTGTATAGGTCAAGCACTACTTTATATCTCGATAGCTAGTTAAGATTAGGTTGAGGTCCCAGTCGCAGGAAGGAGGGGCCACGAGACGTTTAATGGCGTAAGAAAGATGAAAAAACAAGTTCTGCTACACAAATCTGTATTACATTTTTTTTAATCTTATCTTTAATGTTGAAATATTGTATTTAATCTATTTAGGCCTGAAAGTGTTATTTAAATAAAACCATCCGAGAAGCAGTAGTAGTGTTGTATTTTATTAGCTTTTTGTGTAAAATCCTAATAATAAAAATATCCAGTGACTATTACATATTTTCTTTGAAATTTAGTGGAGTAGAAGTATAAAGTAGTATAGAATGGAAATACTCAATAAAGTACATTGCATTACTTGCCATGCGTGACCGTGAGTGGGTGAGAGTGTGTGTGTTGATCCACGTCCCTCTGTTATGGAGCAACTTCACCGGATGCTCCTCTGACATTGTTGTTTTTCTAATGGTTGTTTATTTACCTGAGAAAACAGGATGACAAGTCTGACTCCACACTGCAGCTTCTAACTGTAGGAAGCAACTTTATTCACACTTTGTTCAACATTAACTGTTGAATCTACATCAACGTGTGTGTGTGTGTGTGTGTGTGTGTGTGTGTGTGTGTGTGTGTGTGTTGTGTGTTTGTGTGTCACAGCACTGCCTGGTTCCAGATAATCCTCTTCTCAGCAACGGCAGTGTTTTACACATGACTGGTTCTTATTCCCACCCTGAACTTGATCACACGCACACGCACACACGCTCTCCATAACTGTTACACATTTATTATAGGTTGACCTTTGCCCTGCTGTCACAAATGTCACCAAGCTGTTCTCCTTAACGGAGAGCTGAATCAATAACTTGATAACGGCATGTACATGTCTAAACACCTGAAGTAGTTAAGTTTAATGTTTAAAATTGTTTGAATGTTTAATTAAAAAAACGTGAGTCACATTTTACAGGACTAGCTAAATCACTTCTAGTAGTACTTCAAGAAGAAAAGGATCTCAAATGGCTTTAGGGACAAATTATATACAAATCCAGCAACGATGATGACTCAAAACAATGAGAATAAGATTTTAAATGTGTTTGAAGATTTAATCAAAGTGAGTCTTTGGGATTCAACAGGACATAAATGAGTCCCTCCATCATGGAAAACATCTGCTATTGTTAGTAATTCTTAGAACCTCTTCCATAACATCCTCCTTTCTCTCTCAGCTTTCCTGTCTGTCTTTCCTTTTCTTCACATTCTTTCACAGTCAAACTCTCTTCAGTCAGTGGGGGCTGGGCCACCGAGTGTTAGCTCCTCCCCCCTCTGGCTGGGATGAATGCAGGGGGCGAGAGAGCGAGAGAGAGAATGAGGGAGAATGAGAGAGAGAGACAATAGACTTTAATCACTCATGTGGTTCAGAGCTGTTGGCAAGCCAAGTTCCACACGCGCTGAGAGAGGGGAAAAAAAACAGAAGAGGGGAAGATAGAACCAGGAAGGGAGAAGACTGAGGTGGACAACTTAAGAGGAGAGTTATCATTAGTTATACTTCTGAACTGAATACAAGTCTACAGCCAGACTGAGGAGGAGGTGACCAAAAACATCTGGCAATTAAGACCTAAAGGAGCAACCGTCTGCCCTGAATCCTCCTCAGCTTGATCATTGGAGACCAACTTTCTACTGCCTCTACTGAAGAAGTCTCCATCCACTCTGCCGTCCAGACTGGAGTATGCCCTGCCATCCCTGTCATCCCTGCCGCTGATCCAGGCGGTCAGCATGATCTCCCACTACCCTCTGGCCACCCTGCTGCCCTGGCCTGCGGGTCCCCACCACCACTGTCCAGACCTGGACTGCACCTTACTGCTGGAGGGGGAAGGAGGTGTCGCCCTGCAGAGGTACCAGCCTCGCTCCCCAGAGAGCAGCCCCCGCCACTGGGTCAGTACATTGCAGAATAATTGTGTCTGTCTACCTCCTGCTGCTTGTTGTTTTTATTTCTGAGAAGCACAGGTACTTCCAGTCTTGTTAAACAATCTGGCAGATGTTGGCCTCAGCGTCAGTGACCTTCCTGTGCCTTCTGTTGTTTGGAGTGTGTGTGAAGTGTTGCAGTGTTGTTTGGTGTCAAAGGTTTGGGCAGTTTTGATAGATTCAAGGAAGGGAAGAGAAGTGGAAAGTGTTTGTAGCAGTAAAAGGAATCCGATTAAGACTGAGAAAAGAAGTGTGGAATTATAAACGCCTAAAGATGTGTAGTGAGGGTCGCATCAGCAGTGTTTGTGACTTCTCCAAGGTCTGTTTGTCAGATGTCTGTGATGATCGTGAGAAACAAGGTAGAGTGATAGGAAAGGAAAACAGTGTGTGCATAAACACATTTTTCCTTTCCTATCACTCTCATCATCAAATGTGTGTGTGAGCATGAGAAACAGAAAGGTATTTGACTACAGCTGAAGAGTAAATCACAGCAAATCTGTGACCGTCCTGGACCCAGCAGTTCTGGCCCAGGTTGCTGGTCACATGAACAGATAACTGGTAGTGACACATCCTGCACTCAGCAGTCTACACTTCCTACATGAACTGCTAATGTAAGTGATAGTCACTTTGACACGTAATAAAAAAAATCAGACTTTTTTATGCAATAAGTTGACAACTCATAGTGCAATAATGCAAACTAGACAGTAACCTTTGGTGGCACTGACGGGAGGACAGCTGACCTCTTGTGAAAAGCAGTAATTCACATTCACTGTAACTACCGCTTATTGGTCACTGTGTGTGTGTGTGTGTGTGTGTGTGTGTGTGTGTGTGTGTGTGCGTGTGTGTGCGTGTGTGTGCGTGTGTGTGCGTGTGTGTGTGTGTGTGTGTAAGGACAGCTTTTGACTGGTCAGAGTTCACAGAAGAGGCATTAGTCATTTTACTTCAGAAAACCAAACGCCATAATTAAGGAAAAAAAAGTCTGATTTTAATACGTGCCAGACAAAAGCAGAGCATGTCGTTGAGCAAAAATGTTTCTTACATTGCACTTCATGCCTTTTTGTTTATTTACCTCTATTTGATTTGTCTGTGACGTAGCAGATTCCTCAAAACAGTGTGATTACCAGAAAACAAACCTGCAGTGACAGCTTATTCCAGCTTAGCTGTGGCTAATTGTTTGCACGTGTACACTGGTGGGATTTAGGCTAAAGCGAAAATATTTTGGGTTTTTTACACGTGGTACATTCAGATTTAGAGAGTAGAGAGAGACGGAGGTCAGAAAACCAGCCTGCCGTGAGCAAAACATTTCTTCCAACAGGGATCAATTTAGTGGTGGATGAAGTATCCTTTACTTAGGTAAAAGTACTAATACCACACTGTAAAAATACTCTATTACAAGTAAAAGTCCTGCACTGTAATTGTTTCTTAAAGGTCCACTGTGTAACATTTAGGAGGATCTATTCCCAGAAATGGAATATAATATTCATAGGTATGTTTTTATTCATGTATAATCACCTGCCATTAATTGATCAATTGTTTGGTTTGTAAAAATTCAGTGAGAAATGCCCAATTACCCAAAGCCCAGAGTAACACCTGCACCATGCTCACCTCAAAATTATAAAAAAATAAATTAAAATAATTTAACAGAAAAGCAGCAAATCTGTACACTTGTGAATCTGGAACCATGAAATGCTTTAACAGGAAAAATAACTTAAACAGTTATCAAAATAGTCAATAGCCAGTTAATTTTCAGTCAGTCAACAAATCGTTTCAGCCATACTTGTAGGGTAGTTAGTTTAATTTATAACAAAACATCATATTTTAGAAGATCTAGAAATGAAAGAAGAAAACTCAATTAAGTAGTAAGAGTACCTGAAATTTGTACTTTGTACCACTACAATTCAACACCCACTATAATTACTATGAAAATAACCTCATTTATTGGAATAGTGCATACATATGTTTCTGTCAGACAACTCTCTCACTGTGGTGCTTGTATGTATGTTTTAAGTTTTGAGTGTTGGGAGATCCTCATCCTCCTCGCTGCCTATCTGACATCCTGACTGACGTGTCCTCCTGTCTCACAGCTCTGTTTCCGCCAATTGTTTTAAGTGGGAATGAAGATGGAGGTTAGCTTGCACATGCTGACACTCTCTCAGACCTGTAGCCAAAGTGACGCTTGGCTCACATGCATCACTCTGTGTGTCAGAAAGTCAGCCCTTGTGACTGTTTTTACAGTACAGAGTTGAGATTGCCCTCATGGAATGGTTGGGGGGCAATAAGGGTGATTATATAGATGGGTTAATGCATTCAATAAAGTTATGTAAGAGTTAACAAAACCATCAGTGGGGTAATCGTTGAACTTCAAGTGCAATGTGTTTGTTTGGTCATGTCTTTTTCCTAAACAAAGACAAAAAAAAAGCAGAAAAGACCTGAAACAAGTTTAGATAAAAAGCAATAACTGCACAATCTCTCCTTGAAAAAACTGCTCTCGGGTGTTCCTCACTCTCCTCTCCTGTAAGATAACTTTTTCCCGAGCTGATTGAGGTTATGAAACCTGATGTGGTTATGAAACCATGCCAGTCATAAAAGAAGTGATTGGACCTATTACCTCTTTGTAATCATGCGGTTATAGATGGTTGTCAGGTCCACAGTTCAGGTCAGAGACAAAGGTGTCAGTCATTATCAGTAGTCCACTGAGGACAATGAGACTCCTGCCTGAACACATATGAGTTCACACAAGCGGAGATTGGCAGCAACTGAAATTGATTATAATAAATCACAAAGAATTAACTTAAGTAATGAAAATTCTATTTTAAATTGAATTATCTGGATGTTGCACAATGTGTCACAAGGAGGAAAAAACAAAGCACTTGACCGGGTTTGAACCCAGTTGCACAGAAGTGAGAGTGTTGACAAACATGTTCATCTCAGTGGGTTATCACAGTGCATTTTACCGCTCTTCTCTCTCTCTCAGTGATAGGACAATGCAATTAAGCCGCAGGCTGAATAAAAAACTCCATTAGAGGGAATATGAGTTGCTACAACGCACCCGTTGGCGTATAATAACCAGCAGGGTAGTTCAATAACCTAAGCGGGTCATTCGTTGGAAATGCAGAAGTGATTTTCTACAGGGAAAACAGGGACAAAGGAAGAGGGGGGCAATTTCGATGATGCCGTGTTTTCCATTGAAGAAAATAAGAAAGCTGATTTAGCACTCCTCCTTCCTCTTTCTGGCCTTTTTGAACAGAGAAGTGCACGTTTTAGGCTGATGCTCAGTGACGTGTCAGTGTTTCCGTTTCTAAAGTTTTGATTCTTGCTTGTCGTGTGTTTTGATGACTGTTGTGTTTCAATCATCCGGCTAAGACTAGTTATTACTAGTTATCTGGCCTTTGCCTGTAAATGAATATAAAACTGTATGGGTTTCAGTCGTACAATACTGTAACATTTATGAAATAACCATACTTCTCACAAGTTAGATTATATATGGCACAGCTCAGGGAGCACCATTCAGGGGATATGGAAAGAAATGGGTTAATTTATTAACCCAGTAAGCACTGACAATACAAGACGCAAGTGGTGAGACAGTAATGTACTTCAGTCCCATAATTTATGTCCTTTCTTTTGTCTGAAATTGCACAATTCACAAACAACCAGACTTCTCTTTTCTCCAAAATCCAGGTCTCTCTGTCATTCAGTCCACCACTTAAGATGGTGTTTACACACTTGGGTGATCCCCAGTGTGTCAAGTTGTCTATTTGCCTGCAGCTCTGCAGAGGTTCAGATTGTGATCTTGGGCCTAATTAGGTCACATAATAGGACTGGTGTGAAAAGTCAATACTGCGGGTATTGTCCCTGTCACCCGAGTGTCCATCCCAGTGCAACAACACCACAGGAGCAGCTCGCTCAACTGGGGCAGAAACTCATCACACCATATGGAGATGGGTGTGTGTTTTGGAGCAGTGTGTGTGTGTGTGTGTGTGTGTGTGTGTGTGTGTGTGTGTGTGTTTAGGGGTGGGCTAACAGGAGGTAGAAGGCAATATGTGCAGCACCGTCACTGATTTAGTTTGTTTTTTATGGTGTGGCAGCTCTGTGACTGTGTGTGTCTGGAAAGGTGCCCTATCCAAACAAACACACACACACACACACACACACACACACACACACACACACACACACTAAATTCTCTACTACTTTTCCCGCTCAGGCAGGGCTTGCAGTATTAGCCAGGACGCATGACTAGGATCAAGCTGACATTGTGATGTGTGTATTAGTGTGTGTGTATGTGTGATAGAGAGAGAGAGGGAAAGAGTGTGTGTGTGTGTGTGTGTGTGTGTGTGTGTGTGTGTGTGTGTGTGTGTGTGTGTGTGTGTGTGTGTGTGTGTGTGTGAAGCTGGAGGCTGCTGGTGTCCGGACAACAGTTATTAATATGAGTGGTCAGCACTCACACATTCTGTATGTCAGCAGATTACTATAACTATAATAACTGAGGTCAAATACAAAGAAGAACATTAACTTAAGTGCAGGAAATACATCCTGTATTTGTTCAAGTTATATATACATATAAGATATATTTTTATATACATCTCAGCTTTACATCATATTGTTTTGACAAAGCAAATATCTTTATATTTTGGTCGGTGTTATGGCAACAGCTGTGCTTGTTTTTGTGCTAAAATACAGCTACTGCTTCTTTTTAGCAGCAGCTCCGATGTGTGTTGTTGTGTTGTGCATCACTTGCACAGTTTCATTTCCTACAAAACTTCACACTTTAACACTAACAGCACTGCAGACGACAGCATAATATCCCTTTAGAATTAAAATAAGCTCCAGAGTACATATATAAAGCAAAAACTGAAACAGTGTGCTGGTTCATTGTTGAGTGTTTTGCACGTTCTGATGTGATACATTTGTAGTATAGTTTTCTGGTGTGATTTGGAGTTCTGGCACAGCAGCAGCTGTTAACAGGGTGC